CCGTGTGTGGTGGCAGTAGACAGTGTTGTGTGTGTGGTGGCAGCAGACAGTGCTGTGTGTGGTGGCAGCAGACAGTGTTGTGTGTGTGGTGGGAGCAGACAATGCCGTGTGTGGTGGCAGCAGACAGTACTCACCTAGTTGTACTCACCTAGTTGTGGTTGCGGGGGTCGATTCACAGCTCCTGGCCCCGCCTCTTCAACTGGCCGCTACCCGGTCACTCTTCCCGCTCCGTGAGCTTTATTATACCTGTTCTTAAAGCTATGTATGGATCCTGCCTCCACTACATCACTACCCAGGCTATTCTACTTCCTGACAACTCTGACTCAAGAAATACTTCCTAACATCCCTGTGGTTCATCTGAGTCTTCAGCTTCCAACTGTGACCCCTTGTTGCTGTATCCCATCTCTGGAATATCCTGTCCCTGCCCACCTTGTCTATACCTCTCAGTATTTCATATGTCGTTATCCTATCTCTCCTGTCTTCCAGTGTCGTCAGGTCGATTTTCCTTAACCGTTCCTCGTAGGACATATCCCTTAGCTCCGGGACTAGTCTTGTTGCAAACCTTTGCACATGCTTGGCTAGGTGAAGGTTCCAAACTGGCGCTGCATATTCCAGTATGGGCCTAATGTACACAGTGTACAGGGTCCTGAATGACTCCTTATTTAGATGTCGAATTCTGTTCTTACTTTTGCCAGGTGCCAGTATGCTGCAGCAATTATTTGGTTGATGTGCACCTCAGGAGATGTGCTCGGTGTTATACACATACACCAAGATTCTTTTCCTTGAGTGAGGTTTGTAGGATCTGGCCCCCTAGACTGTGCTCCGTCTGTGGTCTTCCGTGCCCTTCCCCAATCTTCATGCATTTGGTGGGGTTGAACTCCAGGAGCCAATTGCTGTGAACCAGGCCTACAGTCTGTCCAGATCCCTCTGTAATTCTGCCTGGTCCTTGTCTGACTGAATTCTTCTCATCATCTTCACATCATCTGCAAACAGGGACACTTCGGATTCTATTCCTTCCGTCATGTCTTTCACAAATACCAGAAACAGCACCGGTCCTAGGACTGATCCCTGTGGCACCTCGCTCGTTACAGGCGCCCACTCTGACACCTCGCCAAGTTCCATGACTCACGTACCTGCTGTCTTCCTTTCAGGTATTCCCTGATCCATTGCAGTGCATTCCCTGTTATCCATGCCTGGTCCTCCAGCTTCTGCATTAATCTCTTGTGTGGATCTGTGTCAAACGCCTTCTTACAGTACAAGAAAATGCTATCTACCCACCTCTCTCTCTCTTGTCTTACTGCCGTCACCCTGTCACAGAACTCCAGTAGGTTTGTGATACAGGATTTTCCGTCCCTGAAACCGTACTGGCTGTTGTTGATAAGCTCATTCCTATCCAGGTACTGCACCACTGTTCTCCTGATAATTTTCTCCATGACCTGGCCCGGTGGCCTGGTGGCTAAAGCTCCCGCTTCACACACGGAGGGCCCGGGTTCGATTCCCGGCGGGTGGAAACATTTCGACACGTTTCCTTACACCTGTTGTCCTGTTCACCTAGCAGCAAATAGGTACCTGGGTGTTAGTCGACTGGTGTGGGTCGCATCCTGGTGGACAAGATTAAGGACCCCAATGGAAATAAGTTAGACAGTCCTCGATGACGCACTGACTTTCTTGGGTTATCCTGGGTGGCTAACCATCCGGGGTTAAAAATCCGAACGAAATCTTATCTTATCTTATCTTATCTTACTATACACGTCAGTGACACTGGTCTGTAGTTTAATGCTTCGTGTCTGTCCCTGTTTTTTAAAAGCTGGGACTACATTTGCTGTCTTCCATACTTCAGGTAGTCGTCCTGTTTCAAGAGATGTGTTGAAGATAGTTGTTAGTGGTACACAAAGCGCCTCTGCTCCCTCTTTCAGGACCCATGGAGAGATGTTATCCGGCCCTATCGCCTTTGAGGTATCTAGCTCACTTGACAGCTTTTACTTCTTCCTCGATTGTATGTATTGTGTCCAACACTTGATGGTGTACCTCACTTCCCTGTCTTTCTGGCCCTTCTGTCTCCTATGTGAACACTTCTTTGAATCTCATGTTGAGTTCCTCACATACTTCGCAGTCGTTGTTTGTGACCTCCCCTCCTTCCTTCCTTAGCCTGATTACCTGGTCCTTGACTGTTGTTTTCCTCCTGATGTGGCTGTACAACAGCTTTGGGTCAGACTTGGCTTTCGCTGCTATGTCATTCTCATATTGCCTTTGGGCCTCCTGTCTTACCTGTGCATATTCATTTCTGGCTCTACGACTGGTCTCCTTATTCTCCTGGGTCCTTTTCCTTCTATACTTCTTCCATTCCCTAGCACACTTGGTTTTGGCCTTCCTGCACTTTAGGGTGAACCAGGGGCTCATCCTGGCTTTTTCCTTATTCCTGTTACCCTTGGGTACAAACCTCTCCTCAGCTTCCTTGCACATTGTTGACACATATTCCATCATCTCGTTTACTGATTTCCCTATCAGGTCTCTGTCCCACTGAACCCCGTTAAGGAAGTTCTTCATGCTTGTGTAGTCCCCTTTCTTGTACTTTGGTTTCATTTGTTTGGCCCTTCCTGCTTCCCCCTCCACTTGTAACTCTACTATGTATTCAAAGCTTAAAACCACATGATCACTGACCCCCCCAGGGGTCTTTCATATGTGATGTCCTCAATATCTGCACTACTCAAGGTGAATACTAGGTCCAGTCCTGCTGGTTCATCCTCTTCTCTCTCTCTCTCTCTCTCTTACATGTTGGTACATGAGGTTTTCCAGTACCACCTCTATCATCTTAGCCCTCCACGTTTCTTGGCACCCATGTGGCTCCAAGTTCTTCCAATCAATTTCGTTGTGGTTGAAGTCACCTGTGATCAGTAGCTTTGCCCTGCTTGCATGAGCCCTTCTGGCCACCTCAGCCAGTGTGTCAACCATCGCTCTATTACTCTTATCATATTCTTGCCTTGGCCTCCTGCTGTTCTGTGGTGGGTTATCCATCACTGCAATTACCACCTTGGGACCTCCAGACTGAAGCGTTAGTACTATGTAATCTCTTGCTTCTTCTCTGTCTCTTCTCTCAAGCTCATCAAAATCTCTTCGGTTTTTGATCAGCAGTGCCACTCCTCCACTCCCTCTGTTCCCTCTGTCTTTCTTCAGGATCTGATACCACGTTGGAAAGACGGCATCTGTTATCAGATGTTGTGTATGTAGTGGCAGCAGACAGTGCCGTGTGTGTGGTGACAGCACGCAGTGCCGTGTGTATGGTTGCAGCAGACAGTGCCGTGTGTGTGGTGGCAGCAAACAGTGCCGTGTGTGTGGTGGCAGCAGACAGTGCCGTGTGTGTGGTGGCAGCAGACAGTGCCGTGAGTGTGGTGGCAGCAGACTGTGTTGTGCGTGTGGTGGCAGCAGACAGTGCTCTGTGTGTGGTTGCAGCAGACAGTGCCGTGAGTGTGGTGGCAGCAGACAGTGCCGTGCGTGTGGTGGCAGCAGACAGTGCTGTGTGTGTGGTGGCAGCAGACAGTGCCGTGTGTATGGTTGCAGCAGACAGTGCTGTGTGTGTGGTGGCAGCAGACAGTGCCGTGTGTATGGTTGCAGCAGACAGTGCTGTGTGTGTGGTGACAGCAGACAGTGCTGTGTGTGTGGTGGCAGCAGACAGTGCCGTGTGTATGGTTCCAGCAGACAGTGCCGTGTGTGTGGTGGCAGCAGACTGTGTTGTGCGTGTGGTGGCAGCAGACAGTGGTGTGTGTGTGGTGGCAGCAGACAGTGCCGTGTGTGTGGTGGTAGCAGACAGTGCCGTGTGTGTGGTGGCAGCAGACAGTGCCGTGAGTGTGGTGGCAGCAGACAGTGCCGTGTGTGTGGTGGTAGCAGACAGTGCCGTGTGTGTGGTGGCAGCAGACAGTGCCGTGAGTGTGGTGGCAGCAGACAGTGCCATGTGTGTGGTGGCAGCAGACAGTGCTGTGTGTGTGGTGGCAGCAGACAGTGCCGTGTGTGTGGTGGCAGCAGACATTATTGTGCGTGTGGTGGCAGCAGACAGTGCTGTGTGTGTGGTGGCAGCAGACAGTGCCGTGAGTGTGGTGACAGCAGACAGTGCCGTGTGTGTGGTGACAGCAGACAGTGCCGTGAGTGTGGTGACAGCAGACAGTGCCGTGAGTGTGGTGACAGCAGACAGTGCCGTGAGTGTGGTGACAGCAGACAGTGCCGTGTGTGTGGTGACAGCAGACAATGCCGTGAGTGTGGTGACAGCAGACAGTGCCGTGTGTGTGGTGACAGCAGACAGTGCCGTGAGTGTGGTGACAGCAGACAGTGCCGTGAGTGTGGTGACAGCAGACAGTGCCGTGAGTGTGGTGACAGCAGACAGTGCCGTGAGTGTGGTGACAGCAGACAGTGCAGTGTGTGTGGTGACAGCAGACAGTGCCGTGAGTGTGGTGACAGCAGACAGTGCCGTGTGTGTGGTGACAGCAGACAGTGCCGTGAGTGTGGTGACAGCAGACAGTGCCGTGAGTGTGGTGACAGCAGACAGTGCCGTGAGTGTGGTGACAGCAGACAGTGCCGTGAGTGTGGTGACAGCAGACAGTGCCGTGAGTGTGGTGACAGCAGACAGTGCCGTGTGTGTGGTGACAGCAGACAGTGCAGTGTGTGTGGTGGCAGCAGACAGTGCAGTGTGTGTGGTGACAGCAGACAGTGTCGTGAGTGTGGTGACAGCAGACAGTGCCGTGAGTGTGGTGACAGCAGACAGTGCCGCGAGTGTGGTGACAGCAGACAGTGCAGTGTGTGTGGTGACAGCAGACAGTGCCGTGAGTGTGGTGACAGCAGACAGTGCCGTGTGTGTGGTGACAGCAGACAGTGCCGTGTGTGTGGTGACAGCAGACAGTGCCGTGAGTGTGGTAACAGCAGACAGTGCCGTGTGTGTGGTGACAGCAGACAGTGCCGTGTGTGTGGTGACAGCAGACAGTGCAGTGTGTGTGGTGACAGCAGACAGTGCCGTGTGTGTGGTGGCAGTAGGCAGCAGTGGTTGCTGGCAGCAGTATAGCTGCAGCAGGCGGTGAAGGAGGGTGGCACTCTATGGTAGAGCTCAGAGTGCCGGTATCTCTCTCCTACACCACTGGCAGTATTCCCTCAGTGTGCACCGTCACTCCAGTCACCACTGGTTCTTCACTCAGTACATCTACCAGTGAAAAACAACACTTTCGTTTTAAGTGATTAAAAGTGTTTTATTTTAAACTATAAAATGATGAAATCGTTTTCATTACATTTAAACTGAGATGAAAATGGTTTTATTGAGTGTATTTCGGAAGCTTAGTGGGAGTGGAAAAATACGGAGCGTGTGAAATTTGGTAGCGAGTGTTAGTGAGCGGAAAGTTACTGTGTATTCCTCTTCCAGACGTACACACACCACTGGCTGTTTCCACTATACACATACATGATCTACAACTCTTTGTACACACCAGTGACTATCTTCACCACACACACATACATGATCTCCAACATTCCGTACACAGCACTTGTCTACGTTAAGAGGCTGTGTTTAGCCTCTGGTGACTGTCCTTAAGGGCGTGGTGCACTCCAGTCTCCTTGTCACAGGAAGGTTGAATGTACACCTCCTTGGGACGACAGTAACACGCGCTGGTGCACAAGTACTGTGCACGTGTGTGTGCAAATCACCTTATTACTGGTCAACACATGACTTGCTGACTTCACCTCGGTTAACTAGCTGAGGTCAACCCCTGAACTTGGTACAACACGACCACCCTGGTCCTCGGGCACTCTTTCCACCACCTGTAGGTGGTAGTTACGAACGACCACCTGAGTTGTAGTGACCAGTTCACCTCACAATCACCTGGCAACCTTAACAAGATTCACTACGGTTATTGATCCGACCAACGTTACCTGGAGGTCATTCCAGCCTTCCACTGACGTATGTTGGTGAGTAGTAACCTTCACCAGGTCTTGCATACAGGTCAATACTGTACTTGCATCCCCAGCCTTCCATTGACGAGTGTTGGTGAGTAGTAACCTTCACCAGGTCTTGCATACAGGTCAATACTTGCACCCCCAGCCTTCCATTGACGAGTGTTGATGAGCAGTAACCTTCACCAGGTCTTGCATACAGGTCTATACTTGCATCCCCAGCCTTCCATTGACGAGTCTTGGTGAGTAGTAACCTTCAACAGAGTTGGTGAAAAGATTAATAATTCCATCATAATCCTGGCAAGGGAAAGATTTATTTCTGATGTAAATAATAACAACAAATAACAAATGATTAATATATTTAACATAGGGGCTGTTGCCAGCTATGCTAGGGTTACCAGAAATTTAAAATACACCCTAACGTTCTCCAGAGATGTTCAAGACAACTTTCTTATGAGACAAGATATCACACTCGTGAGAGTAGAGTTTCTCTCACACTTACAACATCTTGGTTTCGTGGACCAAACAATCTCTGGATCAAATCAAATCAAATCAATTCAAGTTTATTCTCTGTAAGGGTTACAATGTGGGGTTTACAGGATTTGGATATTGTGTGGTTTACGTGTTATAAAATACTAATTACAGAGGGGCCACTAGGACACCTAGCCTGGCTAGGCATTTCGAGCAGACTTAGATTAATTCTTAACATTAAATCCTTATAGATTATGGTATTAAGGCTAAGTGACTACATCATAATTTGTGAGTTTAGCAATGTGAATGCTTTTGTTTTGGACAATACAAAGTGTCTATATTGGAGTTTCATAGGCAAACTTATGACTAGTTAGGATTCATTATTTTAAGATTAAGATTAGTATTTCTGTGTTTATAGTCAATGGGTGAGTGTAATTGTGAACCACCAGGTGGTTATCATGTAGTTAGTTGTCGGGGTGTATCAGGGAGATAAGATGTTCTCTAACTGTAAGTAAGTTTATTCAAGTATACACAAATACAGTTACATAGAATTATCATACATAGCAGCATATGTGTAGAGAACCTAGGATAACCCCAAAAAATCAGAGAGTGACTTATTTCCATTGGGGTCTTTTATATTTCCATTAGTTTTGAAAGTGATGAGTGTGTCTGCAGTTCTAGAGTTTTCAGGTAGGGTGTTCCAGATTTTAGGTCATTTGAAATACGTTGAATTTTTGTAAAGGTTTAGTTGGACACGGGGAATGTCATAGAGATGTTTGTGTCTGGTGTTATGCCTGTGGATCCTGTCACAACTATCAAGAAAGCGTTTTAGGTCAAGGTTAATAATGGAATTTAAGGTCCTGTAGATATAGATTGCACAGTAGTAAGTGTGGATGTTCTGAACAGGGAGTAAGTTTAGATCTATGAAGATTGGGGGGGTGTGTTGCCAGGGATAGGATTTAGTGATTATTCTCACTGCGGCTTTTTGTTGGGTTATTATTGGCTTTAGGTGTGTTGCTGCAGTTGATCCCCAAGCACAAATAGCATAGGTGAGGTATGGATATATAAGTGAATGATATAGTGTGAGAAGGGCAGTTTGCAGCACGTAGTTTCGTATCTTGGAGAGGATCCCCACCATTTTGGATACTTTTTTTGTTATGTGTTGGATATGGGTGCTGAAATTTAGGTTGTTGTCGAGGTATAGGCCAAGGAATTTGCCCTCATTATGTCTGGCAATTAGAGTGTTGTCGATCTTAATGTTAAGTTGTGCAACACCTGCTCTGCTACCAAACATAATATAGAAGGTTTTGTCAGTGTTAAGTGTAAGTTTATTGGCTGTCATCCAAGTCGATATTTTGAGCAGCTCCTCGTTAACAATGGTGTTGAAGGTGGCAAGATTAGGGTGGGAGATGACATAAGTCGTGTCGTCAGCAAAGAGAATGGGTCTCAGGTGTTGGGATACGTTTGGAAGATCATTGATGTAAATGAGGAAGAGCAGGGGTCCAAGGACACTCCAGTATCAAGTGGCTGTATTGATGAGGCTGTGTCTTTAATGGTGACATACTGATACCTATTAGAAAGGTAGGATTTGAAATATAATATACAAACGCATGGCCTCTTATACCATAATGGTCAAGTTTGTGCAGTAGGATGCCGTGGTCAACTGTGTCAAACGCTTTTCTTAGGTCAATAAAAATTCCTAGCGGATATTCCTTATTTTCCAATGCTGTGTAAAGCAGGTCTAGCATTTTTATAATTGCATCATTAGTTTTTTTATTTTTCCTGAATCCAAATTGGCAGGGGTTGAGTATGTTTTGTGACATTATAAAAGAATATAGTCTCCTGTGCATGAGTTTCTCGAAGATTTTGGATAGCAATGGTAAGTTTGATATTGGCCTATAGTTGTTTACGTCTGTAGGGTCACCACCTTTATGCATTGGTGTTACCCTTACTGTCTTGAGTAGTGTCGGGAAAGTGCTAGTTTCTAGTGACTTGTTAAAAAGTAATGTAATAGCATGCGAAAGGACATACCTGGAGGTTACCTGGAGGTTATTCCGGGGATCAACGCCCCCGCGGCCCGGTCCACGACCAGGCCTCCCGATGGATCAGGGCCTGATCAACTAGGCTGTTACTGCTGGCCGCACGCAGTCCGACGTACGAGCCACAGCCCGGCTGATCCGGCACTGACTTTAGGTATCTGTCCAGCTCTCTCTTGAAGGCAGCCAGGGGTTTATTGGCAATTCCCCTAATGCTTGATGGGAGGCTGTTGAACAGTTTTGGGCCCCGGACACTTATGGTGTTTTCTCTTAGTGTACCAATGGCGCCCCTACTTTTTATTGGCGGCATTTTGCATCGCCTGCCCAGTCTTTTACTTTCGTAGGGAGTGATTTCTGTGTGCAGATTTGGGACCATTCCTTCCAAGATTTTCCAAGTGTATATTATGATATATCTCTCCCTCCTGCGTTCCAACGAGTACAAGTCAAGTGCTTCCAAGCGTTCCCAGTAGTTAAGGTGCTTGACAGAACTTATACGTGCAGTAAAGGATCTCTGTACACTCTCTAGATCTGCGATTTCACCTGCTTTGTATGGAGATGTTAATGTACAGCAGTATTCCAGCCTAGAGAGAACAAGTGATTTGAAAAGGATCATCATGGGCTTGGCATCTCTCGTTTTGAAAGTTCTCATTATCCATCCTATCATTTTCTTTGCACGTGCGATCGTGGCACTGTTGTGATCCTTGAAAGTGAGATCCTCAGACATTACTACTCCCAGGTCCCTTACATTATTTTTCCGCTCTATTGTATGGCCGGAGTCAGTAGTATACTCTGTTCTAGTTATTATCTCCTCCAGTTTTCCATAACGGAGTAGTTGGAATTTGTCCTCATTGAACATCATATTGTTTACCGTTGCCCACTGGAAAACTTTGTTTATATCTTCTTGGAGGTTAACCGCGTCCTCAGCAGATGACAGCCTCATGCAGATCCTAGTATCATCCGCAAAGGATGACACGGTGCTGTGGTGTATATCTCTGTTTATGTCTGATATGAGGATAAGGAATAAGATGGGGGCGAGTACTGTGCCTTGTGGAACAGAGCTCTTCACTATGGCAGCCTCCGATTTAACTCTGTTGACCACTACTCTTTGTGTTCGATTTGTTAGGAAGTTGAAGATCCATCTCCCCACTTTCCCAGTTATTCCTTTAGCACGTATTTTATGGGCTATTACGCCATGATCGCATTTGTCAAATGCTTTTGCAAAGTCTGTGTATATTACATCTGCATTCTGATTTTCTTCCAGTGCATCCAAGGCCATGTCATAGTGATCCAGTAGTTGTGAGAGGCAGGAGCGACCTGCCCTGAACCCATGTTGCCCTGGATTGTGCAGATTTTGGGAATCCAGGTGATTTGCACATGGGCCGCTCGCTTGTACAATAATGGTGGGACGTGAGACAGATTCCCCGAGTTATTTTTAAGTGACTTTATGATCGCGGTGATTTCTGTGGGCTCAGTTGGTACAAGATAGAAGGAATTTGGGAAATTCCTATCTAGGTAGTCCCCAGCATGGGCATTGGTACATGGGATTTTACTGCCGAGATTAGATCCTATATTTGAGAAGAAGTCGTTTATCTTGTTAGCTGTATCAGAGGGATGCAGTGGTGTTTCATTAGGTTTAGTTAGGACAATATTCTTGTTTTTTTTTTCAGTTTGTGGGTCCCCAGAATCTGGGAAAGTGTTTTCCAGGTCTTTTTTATATCTCCTCTTGTGTCAGGGAATCTGCTGGAGTAGTACAGTTGTTTGGCTTTCTTAATTACTTTGGTGAGAGCTAATGAATAGTGTTTAAGAATATCTTTGTGTATTAAGCCCTGTCTATAATGCTTTTCATATTGGTGTTTCTTATCAATGGATTTCAGAATGCTGCTGGTTAGCCATGGGCAACCGAGCCGTTTATCCGTGATCTGTTTCGTTTATACAGGACAATGTTGGTTGTATAGTCTAAGTATTTTGTTAAGAAAAATGTCTGTCCAATCGTCATACCATTGGCATTGGAGAATTCTGTAGGCCAGTCAACAGTCTCTAGGTCTGCTGTGAAATTCCTTACTGAGGCCTCGTCATGGAGTCTAAATGAAACTTTGTTGTATTCGAGTGATGGCTTACTAATGTTTGTTAAGAGAAGGTTAGGTAGTGGTAAATAGTGCTGTCTGTGATTATCCCTGATTTAAGGGGGGGCTAGTATATTGGTCCATATGTGGTCTATTATGGTTGCACTTGTCTCAGTCAGCCTGGTTGGTTTAATTATTATTATGATTATTATTATTATTATTATTATTATTATTATTATTATTATTATTATTATTATTATTATTATTATTATTATTATTATTATAATCAAAAAGAAGCGCTACGTCACAAGGGCTATACAGCTGGTTTAGTTATTGTTGGTATGAAAAGTGTGTTGTTCATATTGTTGATGAAATCAGTTACAGTCTGATCATCTGGTAGGCCAAGGTTGATGTTGAAGTCTCCAGCTAAGAGAAGGTGGTGCGT